TTCCCCCTCCCCCCACCTTCCCCTTGATGCCACAAAGATTACGTCAACGACACACAGGCTGGCATGTTTGCACTCTCTCGACGACTTCCGATTTTTTGCTGGATGTGTTTGATTGCCGCGATCGTTTCGGCAAGATTTTTCTGAGTGACTGTTTCTTTTTCGTTCAATGAAGGTGATTATGCGTCGCTATCGACACAAATTAGATGACTGAGCAAGCGGAATTAGACCCTTCCTGTCCTGACCAATCTGGGCTGAGAAGAAAACAGTCGTGCCTGCTCTAACGGCCACCTGTACAAGACAAATAGTTCTCATTTCCTGACTTGCGTATTTTTCCATCATGACTGACAGTGTGGATAACGACCACCTGTTTCACACAGCCACTTTTCTCCTTAACAATGGGAGGTCGCCTCACACAGTTTCAACAATACAACGTCCCAGCTGACAGACTGAGATACGTAACCGAACTAAGCTCTTTGGAAAACGACAGCGAAACGCCTATAGTGTGGTCAAAAATTCGTGGTATAACTCATTGTCCAATATCTCGTCAACTCTCGAACACAGCTTTAACAATGTGTGCAAAATGGTTTGTATCTATTTATCTTAACAGATTCGCATTTTTGTAAACACCTGCTAGCTGTATTCTAGAAAATTTCTTAATAAATTATACTAATAAAAAATCCAAGTGGTTGGTTTCTACAGATTTGTAAATGTTTACAGCTGGGGCAATATTGCTTTTAATATCAAGTCCGTTATGTTTTTTTCTAATCGAGACATTCTGATTATGCTTATTGAACACATGTTTTGAGAACCAATAGTGCAAAATACGCGTTCACTATAAAAATAATTTCTTGTAACAAGTTTTGCAACTAAAAGTTTTCATTGATGAGCTGTGACGTAGGCCATGTATTCAAAATGGGTGTGAGAAGCGGGAAGTGCTATGAATAATTCAATTTTACGTGTGACAGACACTTCAAGTATTTTATATAAATTTGTTAAGAAAAGTTTTTAAATCTAGCCCCAATTGTTCGGGGAAAATAAGATTTAGTTAAGACAAATTGATATAAACTGCTGGGCATAGTATGGATGACATTGATTCACCTGTTACAAAGATATTTGAGCACAAGTTGCGCCACGAATTTTTACCTCACTATTAGAACGGCATCTGCGGTTTAGCGAATACCTGGATACCTGGAGGTGTCATCTCTTACTCAGAGGGTGGGTGGTTGGCGGGTGCTCTGGTGTGGTTTGCTTCTTCTTTCCTATCAAACATCTATGTCCTTATCTCCCCTTCTTCTTTTTTATGTATGTTTGTTACTCTCTTGTAACACCTCTAATCTTCTGGCGCTCATATGACCTTATGCAGTTGCGAGCGCCGTAAAACATCTACTAAAACTAAAACTCACTCAGAGGTTGACGTATAATGACCCTCTATCCTTCACGGCCACGAGCTGCCGTTGAACATTCTGCCATATCCAGGCCTGTCCATACTCTGTTGCTGTCCATTCATGTTAGGCTTTGCCTTCTTCTGGCTCTCCTGTTCCACACCTTTCCTTCAAATACCTCTTTTACAATGGACTCGTGTCGTTTTAAATGGCCATAGTATTGGGTTTTTTAAATATTTATTCAGCAAGGTTTGTCTTCTGTGTACAATCTGACACACCTCGTTGTTTGTCTTTTTTATTTTTTAACTTATTCTGGCCATTCTACGGTAGCGCCACATCTCAAACGCATTTATTTTGTCAGGCGATTGGGTGCTTCAAAGTCGCACTCAGGAGACCCGAGTTTGATTCCCTAGTTTGGAGTTTTGGTTGTTTTTTTGTTTATTTTATTTATTTTTTTTTATTATTTTTTTATTTTTTAAATATTTTATTTTTATTTTTATTTTTTATTTTTTATATTTTATTTATTTATTTTTTTATTTTTATTTTTGTGTGTGTGTGTGTGGGGGGGGGGGGGGTTCAAGTGGGGGATTTTTTTAATCGAGTGTCTAGGTGTTTCTGCTGGGATGTTGTATCCCTTTCATCCTAGGCTGACCATGAAAGGCATGGTGGGAAGTCCACCTTCTAAAAGATCTAACTTGTGTCAGTAGAGGAGTTAAAACACGTATCTAATGAAGTATTTAATTTTAGTAAGATTATACAACGCTCGCAACTGCACAAGGTCATATGAGCGCCAAGGGGTGTATGTCTATATAGAGAAGTCTAAACGGGGAATCAGACTAACTCTGCTCACCTCTCTAGCCTCAACAGCACGAAGTCTTCGTCGACTATCAACTCACACCAGAAATAGCAGTTCACAAGAGTGTGACAAACATACAATAGAAGTAGAGGGAAAATGATGATAGTACGGATGATGAAAGAATAAGCAATCAAATGCTATACTGAAGACGCTACTGTGATTGTTTCAAACGTACTTTGATCAGATATGTTGAGATGGTTTGTTACCACTTACGCTTGTACGCACACACTCATGTACACACCCTCTCACACACACACACACACACACACACAAGCACACACAAACACACACACACAAACACACACACACAAGCATACACACATAAACACACACACACACACAAACACAAACAAAAACACACAACACACACATACTCACTTACACCTACAAACACGCACACACACAAACACATACATACATACACACTTACGCACACACATACGCACACACACACACTCACACAAACACTCACACGCGCTCAGTGGCACAAATACAAAAGACTGAATTGTAGATTCGGTGCCAAATAACGAAATTGAAACCGACTGCACTCAGCATGAGGTAGAACCGTAAGTAATGTTGCTGGGGCCCAGGAATCGACTAGGAACTCGTTTAACCGATTTTTTATTCCCCCTCCCAGTAGGAACCCTAGCACGTACACTGACGTTTTGAAGAAAGTATTAAAAAAATCAATTTTTGTTTTATCACAGCTTCGAAAACGTTCCGTTTTCACTTTTCAAAAAGTAGTGCACTTTTCTTCTAAGTTAAAAAAAAATTTTTCAAACATTTTAAACCCTAGAGAAACGCATCAAAATGTATAAACCGATTTCAACCAGTTTTGATGCGTTCTTATTTTTTAAATTTTCAGACTGATTGGCATGTACTACTTTCATACTAGCTTTATATAAAGGAAGAGGCTAGCCGTACTTAATGACGGCTAGACTGCCGGTAGTTTAGCCGTACATATTCTTAATACGATGGCTAGACTGACCATTTAAAAAAAAAAATAGGCCTACTGAGTTGTAAATTTAGATTTTTAGTGTGTAGTAATTGTATATGAGACGAAACCAGGTGCCTTAATGACAGTGCATGTATTTTAAACCTCCTGTTTTCTAATGTTACGTCTAGCCACTTCGTTATACAAACTCAATTTGGTACCCCCCCACACACACACACACACTCACAAACACACACACACACACACACACACACAGACACACACACACACACAGATACACAGACACACAGACACACACACACACACACATACAGTCGAACCTGCCATGATGGCCCCATGTGTAATACGGCTGTACAAACGGACACTTTCCATCCCCCCCCCCCCCTTGCCTGTTATAAGTTGACTGTATAAAACGGTCACCTGTCCAACGCAGCCGCGGCCACCTTATTTGATCTGCCCACGGTCAAATTGACCCAACTTTGATTTACTTGCCTGGGGCGGCCAGGCGTGGTCACACATTGCCCGACGCTCTGTCACAATAAAGTTTGAATCGGCCCCTGACGCCATGGAAACGCCGTCATAATCCATTCACCTGGTGCAATTACGTTTGTTCCTCCAATGAATGTTTACCTGAGTTGACAAATAGGAAACAATGAATGTGAGGCAGCGTAATGGAATCAGGCTCTCGTCAAAATAATCCAAGTGAAGAAACCTGCATTTTCCCGCAGGTTTGTGAATTGTTAGAATCTATCAATTTTTTTGTTTTGGGCTCAACACCTTTCATGCCCATTAAAGAACTCATTTCTGTGTGGATTTTTCATAAAAACATTGATTAAAGGCACAAAAAATG